TTTTAATCACTTTCACAAATGACTGACCAACCTTAGAGAAAAGCCTATGCCAGGACTTGTTTTAATCTAAATAGGTGAAAACTCTTTCTGATAATTCTGAATAAAGCTTTCAAATGATCACAAACTGTGTAACTTCATAAGGAGTTCTGGTCTTATTTTCTTAATAACTTTCTTCATTAAGCAGTTCTTCTTAAGTGCTTGGCATATAGTAAATGCTATTAAAAATAATTTAACAAACATTTCTTAGTACGCAATGTATCTTGGAACATTCACATTCTGAGATCATACATTTATACCCTAGAAGCATTCCTAGGAGGTTTCTCAAATAGTGAGCCCTTCTTGTGGTATTCGTGCATTTTGTTTTCCATAGGATTTTTTTTAGTTTATCAAAGCTTTGTAACTTAAACCACAAATTTAAAGTGAGTACAATGAATACTTGGCAAATTTTTTTTTTTTTTTTTTTTTTTTGTGGTACGCTGGCCTCTCACTGTTGTGGCCTCTCCCATTGTGGAGCACAGGCTCTGGACGCACAGGCTCAGCAGCCATGGCTCACAGGCCCAGCCGCTCTGCGGCATGTGGGATCTTCCCAGACCGGGGCACGAACCTGTGTCCCCTGCATCGGCAGGCAGACTCTCAACCACTGCGCCATCAGGGAAGCCCGGCAAAGTATTTTTTAAGGTTGCATATTATAAAGAAACTTTAGAGCAATTTGCTCTAAAGGTATATTGTTCTTCACAGTGGAAAAAATGCAAAGTGACTTGCAATTCTCTTTACAAACCATTTAGGACATAAGTGTCTACAGCAAGAAAGATAAAAAGCATTTGACAAAATAAAACATCCTTTTATGATAAAAATTCTCAACAAATTGGCATAGAAGGAATGCACCTCAACATAATAAAGGCCACATATGACAAGCCCACAGCTAACATCATATTCAACATTGAAAGGTCGAAAACTCTTTCTCTAAGATCAGGAACAAGACAAGGGTGCCCACTCTCACCAATCCTATTTAACATAGCACTGTTAAGTTCTAGCCAGAGCAATTAGGCAAGAGACACAAAGAAAAGACATTCAAATCAGAAAGAAGTAAAACTGCCTCTGTTTGTACATGATATGACCTTATACACAGAAAAATCCTAAAGACTCCACCAAAAAACTATTAGAACTAATAAACAAATTCAGTAAAGTTGCAGGATACAAAAATCAATATACAAAAATCAGTTCCATTTCTATGCCCTAAAACAAACTATCAAAAAGAGAAATTAAGAAAAGTCCCATTTACAATAGCATGAAAAAGAGTAAAACACTTAGGAATAAATTTAACCGAGGAAATGAAAAATCTGTAGAGTGAAAACTATAATATTTTGATGAAGAAACTGAAGAAGACACGAATAAATGAAAAGACACTCATGTTCATGGATCAGAAGAATTAATATTGTTAAAATGTCCATACTACCTAGAGCCATTAGAGATTCATTGCAATCCCTATCAAAATTCCAATGGAATTTTCCACAGAAACAGAAAAAAAAATCCTAAAATTTGTGTGGAAACACAAAAGACCCCAACTAGCCAGAGCAATCCTAAGAAAGAACAAAACTGGAGGTATTCTACTTCCTGATTTCATACAATAATACAAAGCTGAAGTAATCACACAGTATCATACTAGTACAAAAACAGACACAGACCAATGGAACAGAACCAAGAGCCCAGAAATAACCCTTGCATATAAAGTCAACCAATATTTGACAAAAGGGCCAAGAATATTCAGTGGGGAAAGGACTCTTCAATAAATGGTAGTGGGAAAACTGGATAACCACATGCAGAAAGACATTGGAACCCTATTTTACACCACTCACAAAAATTAACTCAAAATGAATTAAAGACATAAACATAAGACCTGAAACCATAAAACTCCTAAAAAAAAACATAGGGAGAAAAAGCTCCTTGACATTTGTCTTGACAACAATTTTTTTGATATGACACCCAAAGCACAAGCAACAAGGTAAAAATAAACAAGTGGGACTGAATTAAACTAAAAAGCTTCTGTACAGAAAAAGAAACAATCGACAAAATGAAAAGGCAACCTACGGAATGGGAAAAAATATTTGCAAACCATCTATCTGATAAGGGGTTAATATTCAGAGGGCCTGAATAGACATTTTTCCAAAGAAGACACAAATGGCCAACAGGTACATTAAAAGGTGTTAAACATCACTAATCATTAGGGAAATGCAAGTCAAAACTATAATGAAACATCACCTCAAACAGAATAGCTATCAGCAAAAAGACAAGAGATAACAAATGCTGGCGAGGATGTGGAGAAAAGGAAACCCTGGTGCATGGTTGGTAGAAATGTAAACTGGTACAGCTACTATGGAAAACAATATGGATGTTCCTGAAAAAAATTAAAAATATAATTCAGCAATCCTACTTCTTTTCTATAATTCAGGGCTTCCCTGGTGGCGTAGTGGTTAAGAATCTACCTGCCAATGCAGGTGACATTGGGTTTGAGCCCTGGTCCGGGAAGATCCCACATGCCACAGAGCAACTAAGCCTGTGCGCCACAACTACTGAGCCTGCACTCTAGAGCCCACGAGCCACAACTACTGAGCCTGCATGCCACAACTACTAAAGCCCGTGTGCCTAGAGCCTGTGCTCCGCAAAAAGAGAAGCCACTGCAATGAGAAGCCCAAGCACCACAACAAAGAGTAGCCCCCACTCGCTGCAACCACAGAAAAGCCCGCATGCAGCAATGAAGACCCAACGCAGCCAAAAATAAAATTAAACAAAATAAAATTAAAAAATTTTAAAAATATATATGTATATAATTCAGCAATCCTACTGTTTTTTGGGTATATATTAAAAAAAAATGAAATCACTATCTTGAGATATCTGCATTCCCATGTTCATTGCAGCACTATTCACAATAGCCAAGAAATGGAAACAAGTCAAATATCCATCAATGGATGAATGGATAGAGAAGATGTGGTATACATATATTTATATATATTCAATGGAATATTATTCATCCATGAGAAAGAAAGAAATCCTGCCATTAACAATATGTATGGGGCAGGGCCTTGAAGGCATTATGTTACGTGAAGTCAGACAGAGAAAGACAAATACAGTTCACCCTTCAACAATGTGCTGGTTAGGGGCGCTGACCCCCCATGTGGTTGAAAATAGTCATCCCATGGTTTCCTCAAAGGACTGGTTCCAGGGCCTGCCTCGGACACCAAAATCCTCAGATGCTCAAGTCCTATTGTTGACCCTTAGTATTCGCAGTTTCACATCCTCGGATTCAACCAACTGCAGATAATGTAGTATGTATTTATTGAAAAAAATCCACGTATAAATGCACCTACACAGTTCAAACCTATGCAGTTCCAGGGTCAACTGTACTGTATGGTATCACGTACATGTGGGATCTAAAAAAGCCAAACCCATAAAAACAGAGATTTAGAATGGTGAGTGCCAGGAACTGGGGGTGGGAAAAATGGGGAGATGCTGGTCGAAGAGTACAAATGTCCAGTCAGAAGATGAGTAAGTTCTGAGGATCTAATGTACAGCATAGTGACCCCAGTTAACAATACTACATTATATGCTTGAAAGTTGCTAAGAGAGTAGATCTTAATCATGTGAGGTGCTGGAGGTGTTAACTAACCTTACTGTGTTCATTATTCCACAATAATGTGTATCAAATCATCACTTTGTACAGCTTAAACTTACACAAAGTTATATGTCAACTATATCTCAATAAAGCTAGAAAAAACAGAAAGATAACCCTGTCTATATAGAATAGTAAAAAGAAGAGGAAATAGCTTCTTCATAAAACAAGTAAAAAAAAAAAAGAAAACAAGTAGATATGTTCTGTGTGTTGCAAACTTACAAGTATAAAAATATAAGGAAAAAGATGAACAATTCAGGAGATGATACTGTGAGCAATAGCTAAAATATACATATACAGAAAAATCTTGAGACAATGAAAGACTATGGTCAGTACAGCTTTAAAAAAGGCAGAATCAAGGTTTAGGGTACAGGGTGTTGGAACACCTAAAGCTTTCCACACTAGAGCTTGAATTCACACATCAACTACAGATGTGTGATACTATCGATATGAAAAAGGACAGCATTAGTATCCAAAATCTACCATAAAAATGAAAGAATTCTAAGACAAAATTGGCCATATGTGATTTTTTTAAGCTGTTTCAAGTAGAAAAATGACCACTTTGCAATCTTCTCTTTGGATAAAAAATTTAAATCTCAGTGGAAAACAAATTACCCATAAATCTGTAATTCAGTGATCACCACTCCTTACACATTAGTGTATTTATATCTAGTCTTCTTTTCCTCAGCCTAAATACTTACATAATATAGCACATACATGTTTTTCTTTATTACAAAATTACAAGCATACTCTCTATATAAAACCTACATACTACTCTTTTCGCTTAACATATGTTCCCATGTCATTAAAAATTATTGAAACACGTTTATGGCAATATAATACTTCAAATTATGGATGTTCCATAATTTGGTATTAGACTGTTTTCAGTTTTTCATTATTATTAAAAATGCTACAGTGAATATTTTTATATATAAATCTTTGAATCCGATCATTTCCTTGGAAAAAATATCTAGAGGCATGATCTCTCAGCTAAAGAATCTAAATATGTTTAAGACACTTGATATAAGGTTAATTGCTTTCCACTGAGACACTTATATGCCTCACCCATAATCCACAGTGTATGAAAGTGCTTATCTAAAGTTTGTGTTTACATGTCCACCTCTCTAAAGAGACTCTAAGCTCCTGTGGGAACTTATATTCATGGTATATTCATCTTTGTATCCTGGTATCTTATCATCTTTGTATCTCTGTATCTATCTACAGAGTTGATACTCAATAAATGGCTACTGAACTGAATTACAGCACAATGGCAAAACTGTATTCTCCACCTAAAAAGAATAAGAAATCCTCATTAGGAACATACATGTCCTACCTCTGCTGCTGAAGCAAAAGAATCGGTTGACGTGACACTCAAGGTGTCTCTCAGGCCAAAGTCATCCATATTCCCCTTCATGGTGATATCTGTATCTTTATCTTAAAAGAAAAGGTGAAAAGTTCAGAAATTGACATTCCTTGTCATTGCCATATTTCATATTCTATGGTTGGTTTTTCTTTTTCTTTTTTCATTTGAACATCAGTCTTTATTTAGAATTCTGGAATCTAAAAGGAAAACAATACAAATCAATGGGATATAATCTGACAAGACTCTCAAAGTGCTTCAAACTGATTCTGAACACTGCCAAGAAGAGGAGAAAGTACTATAAAGGAGACATGTTTATTTTTTAAAAATATTAAACTATTTCAGATTTTAAAAGCTTTTGAGTAAATAATAACTTAAACTGGTATATAATAACTGGAGTTGGATTATCTACCAGCTATCAGCATATACCACAGATAGCCTGAAACAGAGCAATTTAAGTTGCAAGTGTCCTTGCCCAAATCGGGATAACTGGTAGGTTCATTCAAATTAAATGAATTATTCGCATAAAATGTTGTCTGGCCAGTCACTTGTGATAAACTGACCAATTAAAATAATTCAGGAAGATACCTTCAGTCTCTAAGGTCTACTTTAAAACACTGAAAGGCCCAAAATGATCTGGTTTAGGTCCCTCATGTTTATTCTGCTTACTTGAGGATCAAATATAACTGCCCCAATGATTTTATTTTTATTTATTTATTTTTTGGCCACACTGTGGCGGCTTGTGGTTCTTAGTTCCTCAACCAGGGACTGCAACTGGGCCCCTGGCAGTGAGGGCACAGAGTCCTAACCACTGGACTGCCAGGGAATTCCTCCCCAATGATTTAAAGTGTTGAAAAATTTTAAAGGCATTTGTAAATGGCTAATATGACCATACCAAGACAGGCTACCTATTACCAATACAAAGCATTCTGAACGTCGATGTCAATATCTTCACATACTATCATCTAACTGTTAACATTACATTTTCATTGGAGAACAGTACATTACTATGGAGAACAGTATGGAGGTTCCTTAAAAAACTAAAAATAGAGCTACCATATGATCTTGCAATCCATTCCTGGGCATATATATGGAGAAAAACATGGTCCGAAAGGATACATGCACCCCAATGTTCATTGTAACACTGTTAACAATAGCCAAGACATGGAAGCAACCTAAATATCCATCAACAGAGGAATGGATAAAGAAGATGTGGTACATATATACAACGGAATCTTATTCAGCCATAAAAAAGAACGAAATAATGCCATTTGCAGCAACATGGATGGACCTAGAGACTGTCATACTAAGTGAAGTAACTCAGGGAAAGAGAGATATCTTAATGATATGGCTTATATGTGGAATCTAAAATGAAATGATACAAATGAACTTATTTACAAAACAGAAACAGACTCACAGACTTAGAGAAGGAACTTATGGTTACCAGGGAGGAAGGGTGGGGGGAAGGGATAGTTAGGGAGTTTGGGATTGACATGTACACACTGCTGTAGTTAAAATGGATAACCAACAAGGACCTACTGATTGGCACAGGGAACTCTGCTCAATATTATGTAACAACCTAAATGGGAAAAGAATTTGAAAAAGAACAGATACATATATATATACATATATAACCGAATCACTTTTCTGTTTATAGTTTTTTAACTGTCACAATATTGTTAATCAACTATACTCCAATATAAAATAAAAAGTTTAAAAAAATTACATTTCCAAACAAATTCAGTACTCACTTATAGATGTGACTACATTGTAGCAAGCAACTGATACTCTTCAAATTCTATCACAAGTATGAAAAAAGCAAAGAACAAAATATATACAGATTTTTATTTTTATTTTCAATCTGCTAAATTTGTCAGATACTTAATCTTGTTTGAAAATAAATCGGAAATCTCTTTGGCTTTCATTAATCCAAGTTTCTATTCCATCATTTTTTCCCAAAATAAAGTTCATTACCTTTACCATAAATGTTCCAAATCCTGTTTACAACCCCCAAGTACCAGAAAACAGACCTTTTGTGATGATCTACAGGAAGTGTAAAGTTTTAAAAAATCCAAACCATCAATTTAGTTGAAACTCAAAAGTTTTGCCATTTGTATTCCAATCTCTAAGCCAACCAGAAGAGCGAATTGGGACAAGGTTTATTCCTATTAAGTATCAAAAATAACCATACTCATAGCATATTTTTTTCTACTTTATATTTGGTGGGACCATAGTTGACATTTTAACCATTTATCTTCCAAATTTAAGTTATAATTGTTTTCAAATGAAGCTTACATCAATCCTTTTAAAATACCTAACTTGTCAGTTCAAAATCCTACTACTAAATGACTATTAACTGAACAAAATCTGAGGTTAAATTATTCTATTTTCAAAAATAAAAGTTCTTTTAGGAATTAAAAATTTTTTCATCAAACTTGAGAACAAAACAACATAATCGTTTTACACTTATAAACAGCTATAAAACTGGTATTTTGGGGCACTCAGGTATCCAGAAAAATTCCCAGTATTCTCTTTTCAGTGCATATATGACCTTTGAAAATACATACACAAACTCTGAGGAATCAATTATTTACAAAATTAAATCAGCATTCATAACTTTCAAACCTTTATCTTCCTAATTATTTTCCATCGTTGGTATTAATTCTGCAAAAAAAAAAAATCACACTACAAACTTCATTATGCCAAAGCACGTTTAAAGTGGGATTAAGTTACAAGCCAACTAAGTTAAATCTTGGTTCCATATGCCTTTTGCTATTTTCGGAGTAGAACACAGACATTTATCTTATGTCACTTTACCTTTCAGACATTACCCAGGAGCTGTTAAAAGTCTCTTTTACTTCACTCAACAGTAACCAGCCATTCAATGTCATCCAGATCAGCTACCATGGTTGTATTTTATTTTTTTTAAATCTAACAAAGAAAAGTGGCTCCGAGGAACTGGAAAGTCTTACTCATTAAACCCAACTTCATAAACCACAGACCATATCTCTCATTTCAGTAATTGTTATGATTCCTGGAATGACAGCTTAATAATTTTGAAGAGAAATAATACATCTGTTTTTTAGATAAGCCAATAAAAAGTATAAAGAAAGAATATTGGGCAATATTTAACTGCTTTTGTGCAGTTTTAAAATTTACAATACTTAAATTTAAATTTTTTTTTTTTTTTAAGTTTTAGCTGCATTGGGTCTTCGTTGCTGTGCGCGGGTTCTCCCTAGTTGCAGTGAGCGGGGGGCTACTCTTCGTTGTGGTGTGTGAACTTCTCATTGTGGTGGCTTCTCCTGTTGCGGAGCACAGGCTCTAGGAACACGGGCTTTAGTAGCTGTGGCACGCGGGCTCAGTAGTTGTGCCTTGCGGACTCTAGAGCGCAGGCTCAGTAGTTGTGGCAAATGGGCTTAGTTGCTCCGAGGCATGTGGGATCTTCCCGGACCAGGGCTTGAACCTGTGTCCCCTGCATTGGCAGGCGGATCCTTAACTACTGTGCCACCAGGGAAGCCCTGCCAAATATATTCTTTACTCAAGTTTTCGGTTTCTCTTGAATCTTCTCCGACATATAAATTTCTCTCCTTCTGTTCCCTTGCCCCATGCTACCCAGGAACACATACTGTTTTATAATATGCAGCTCAAGTACTATCTAACCCCTGCATGCATTCTCCTCCAAAAACTACCTAATTTGTTGCTTTTATGTAACGCAGTACAGAAAAGATGTTAAAACCATGGGTTCTGGAGCCAGACAGCTTAGATTCAAAGTCTGACTCTGCTACATTTTAGCTGTGTAACCTTGGGTAAGTTTCTTATCTTCTCCATTCCTCAGTGTTCTCAACTGTAAAATCGGAATAAAATCTACCACACAGGGCTGTGTGAGGATTAAACAAGTTAATATAGTCGGCCCTCCATAACTACAGGTTCCACATCAGAGGAGCCAACCAACCACAGATAGGGGGAAAAAAATCCAGAATATTCCAAAAAGCAAAGCTTGAATGTGCTGTGTGCCAAGAACTATTACATAGCACTTACATTGTATTTGCAACTATTTACATAATATTTACATTGTACTAGGTATTATACGTGATGTAAAGTATATGGGAGGATGTGCATAGGTTATATGCAAATACTACAACATTTTATATAAGGGACTTGAGCATCCACAGATTTTGGTATCCATGGGGAGCAGGGATGACTGTATATGTAAAGTAAGCACTGGATAAATGTTAGCTATTCATATTATTATGCAAAAGATAAGGACATACCATTTAATACACTCTCTGAATCTTTATTTAATTACTGTCTGAATATGCAACCTGTCTGTCCAGCTGGACTGAAACAACTTGAGTGGATGAACTTTCTCTTTTTTTCTCTTTCCTTTTTCTTTTTTCTGATGGTTCCTACAGTTCTCAGTACAGCATCGAACACAATGCAAACTTAATTATTTGTTCACATAAACTAAATAAAACTTGTTATTATAGACTGACCATTCTCAACACATGAAAAATCCCTATTTTAAAACCTCTCATGTATTTCCCCTGGGTTATTTTGCTTGTTCTATGACGTTAACTTGTTTTAAGAGCACTGTTAAAATTCTTATGTTTCTAATATCCAACCCTAAATTAATTAAACTTATGATACTATAAACATGAGATATGCAGCTTAAGCCCCTTAAGGACTCATCATTAACCTTTGAAGTGCCTAAAAGAAAGCTTTCCACATAATTGGACGATTAAATATAAAAAAAATGCTCCATGTGTTGCCTCATTGGCTCTCAGTGGGGCAGCTTTTTTTTTTTCTAACCTTCTTAAATAGTAAATCTAACATTTTTAAGAACATTTTTTTACATGTCTCAATCATCCAGAACTTTTAAAACATTCATGCATAGACATAAACTATGTTCTTTGGAAGAACACTGAAAGTATACTGCTTACTTTTAACTAAATAGTCATATATTTTAGGCTGAAAATCTGACTGGATTCAAGTCTTCCTCCTTCTTTAACAATCTCATAATTCACATATTACTTAAGTTTTTTCCAAAGCAGAATTTGCTTGAAAGTTATACAAA